TTATAAAAAACACTTATCACCAAAGGGTGTGATTTTCAAAAGTGCCCAAGGCCCAGATCCTCAAACTTCCATTGAAGTTAGGAGCCCAAATATCTTTCAGAATCTGGGCCTTATGTGACTTAACACAAGTCAGTGGCTTTCTGAGACTTGTGCTCCTAAGTCATTTAGGCACTTTTGAAAATCTCACTTGTGGTTTCTAGGAGTAAAGATCCTGAAACTCAGAGTAGGTGGGTCTGGGTGAGCAGAGCAAAAAGAAAAGAAAAACGGTTATAGGTGCCAGATCAGAACAAGAAGGAAATCTAGGGTGGAGAAGAAAGGCAGGAAGGAGATTTGGTAGACCGGGCAGCAGAAGTAGAGGTTGAAGGAGGAAGCTATTCAACCTCACAGTGATCCAGGAGTTAGATGGTAAAGAAGTTGGCAAGCTGATCAGGAAAATAAAATGACTTAAATTATGTCCCCTGACCCTCTTTATTGGTGCTTTGCTCTGCTGGTTTAGAGTATTCTCAGAAGCTAGTGATGAGTTTACTTCTGCATAGAGTATTTTCAAAGCTGCCTGTCATTTTCACAGACAGAGATTTTGGTTGTCTCCATTGTTGAGTGTTCATCTTGAGGCACGTTAAAAGGGGCCTGATTTTTTTATTAATTGCTGAGCACTAACACCTTGAAATCTGGGTCCCATCATGCTGATTCAAGTTGGACATAAAAAGACTGATGCACTCAAAAATCACCAGTCACTAAAGAAAATCTTGGCTGGTGAATTTTGTTCTGTTACAAATCAACTGTACCTTCACTTCTCTGAGAGATGGTGGCGTATGAACAAGAATGTATTGTGTATACGTGTGAAAGCACCTGCACAGTGTTCACCAAAGGAAAGAAGAGCTTATGTGGGGCATTTCCCAGGCACCTAGGCTCATGTTTGTTGATCTATTGTTCTTTCTCCCCGTTCTTGTAACCACGTGCTACCATTCACACATGTGAACAGGACAGACCAGTAAGCATTGGCCAATCTATGCAGCAAGGACTTCCTGTCAAGGGAAAAGAGTTTCAGTATGTTCCCTTTTTAGCAGGTCTGCAGCATAAGGTTCAACACTCAGGTTAGCATAGGAGGAGGTGGGAGAGGAGATTTTCAAAGGCACAACGGGGAGTTAGGTGCCTATCCTTCTGTCTAAAATAACTTATGTTCTCTGATCTTTTGACCTTTAAAATGCTAAATGGATGAATAAAGGTCACTGACTTTCTGAGGATGGGGTTAGACGTTTCATTCAGTGCAACTACTAATCTGACTAAGCAAGCAGTCCATTTGGAACATTTCAACCTCAGGGATAGGTATGTCATCCCTTCAAGATTTCTCAACTAATGTTACTAGATCATGGTGGACAATAGTTACTCCTTCCATTTAACCAAATAGTAATTTCCATTGTCATCTCCAGTTGGCTTATGTTTCAGCTACACACACCCACAATTCTGGTTAACAATAAATGCTACAGGCATGTGGTAAGGAGAGAATTGATCTTCTAAGGGGTTATGGTAGAAACATAATCAGAGGCTGAAATGCACTAGAATGCACAGGGTATTCCCATTGCCTAAAGAACCAGATAGAACAATGGGAAAGTCTTTAGGAGAAAAATGTGCCTGGTCCTCTTTTTTCATATGCATCTTGTGTAAATTACCATGACCCACAAGTTCTCCCTCTACTGCAATGTGTATATAACTTGTGGGTCGTTACAATAATCTGCTGTCCACGACCATCTCCCCCTTTCCCCCAAACTGCCTTCCATGGTCATCTTGGTATTTAACTTATGACCTCTGATAATACATAGAGAGATAATACATAGATAGAGGTGTAGCAATGACTCCTTTAATGTGCAATGTAAGGAGTTTCTACACTTCTATGCCACCGTCACAGTGGTAACAGGTTCTTCTCCTAGCTGTCTAGCAAGTTTTATGGTCCAAACATTGTAGTATCTCTGCTATTGCATTCATTAAACCTTGACTGACATTAAACTTTTTCTGGCTGGGGGAGCCACCTTATCAAACCAAAATGTCTCTGGAGGCCATATTTCACTGACTTCGTAAAATGCATGCTGCATGCCAAGCCTTGCTAATGGGAGATGAAAGTCATGTATTTAACTCTGACAAAGATGGAATGATAAACAAAATGCCTCCCTGTTCAGCTGGAGGGACCCTGAAACATGCACTGATAAGTATTATGAAAGCAGAATTAGATTCTCCCTTATTATGAACCCCATTTTTACTTTTTTTTTTTTTTAAAAAGGTAGCAAGCAGATGCATGTATTATACTTCAGACAGCACTAAGATTGTGTAGAATATGGGGTAGTTCTGAAATTGAGGCCTTTTAAACAGGAGAATGTAATTTTCAAAGAAAAACTATGGTTAGCTCCGGGAGAAAAGATTATTAGAAAGTTTGAAAGCAAATCCAGCTCTGGGGGTCTAGAGAAATAACGTAAGTGTTGGATTCAGTGGCTATAATGAATAGTGCCCAGACAGCACAGTATTGCGAATTGTCTTTGTTGTTATATAGGACAGTGCATCTCTTCCTTGCAAGAATGAAACCCCTGCTACCTAAGTAGCCATGCATGGTACATGAGGGTCTTTGAGCAGCTGTAGAAAGATATGCTGCAGTCAAGATGATGAAGACCTGTTTTACCACTGGGATCCTATGAGGACAACAGATATATTTCATTGTATAGGAAACCCAGGAACACTGTGTTTGTTTTATAAAAACTCCCTGTAGATATGTACTACTTTGCAATCTCACTACAGGCGTGCTGAGAAGAATTGCACCACCAGCAAAGGTGGGTTTAAGCATGGACCATTTTGCATAATCTGTGTGCGGTTAAATAAATTTGATGTAATCAAAATATTGGCTGTTTTAAAAGTTATCTATATTCACCAGTTATTTGATTAGGAGGTTTTAAATCAAGATTTGAATATGTTGTAATGGCAGGTTATTGTGGGGGAGTGATAGGTTCCGTTCACTGATCATGTTAACAAAGATATAAAGGCCAACATTTTCAAAAACAGGTGCCTAAAGTTAGACTCCTAAATTCATAAGTGGCCTGATTTTCAAAACTGCGGAGTGTAACAATGACAGATCCCAGTCGTCGGCGGGCGGGACTGAACCTGGGATCTCTGGAGCGTAATACATGAGCCTCTACTGCATGAGCTAAAAGCCATATTGCTCTTTGCTAAGGCTGTAGAGCAAACTGATTAATCTCTCTCTAAGTGGTCTTGGTGCCACTAGATGGGACAGAACACCACAGCTGGAAGTGTGTGGGTTACACTGAGCACCTGTACTTTTTTTTTTCTTTTTAAAGAGTCAGACCACTTATTTTAGGGGACCTAATTATGGCTTTAGGAGCCTAATTTTATGCTCCAACTTTTGAGAATATTTGCTTAAGCGCTGAACAAAATCAAGACTCCCAAGGCAGTATTGGGCTGGTGGTTCTATTCACTGCTTCGCCCCTGCCCTGCGGGGTCAGTTTGGGGGAGCTATTTCCCCTTTTTGTGACTCCTCTTCCCCTCCCATCCTTTGTGTGTCTTCTCTGTTTAGAGTATAAACTCTTCAGGGCAGGGACCCTCTCAATCTTTTGTTTATACAGCCTCTTGCACAAAAATGGGGCCCCATCTCTATTGGGGCCTCTAATTGCTATCATAAAATAAACCCTTTTCTGGCACCTCTGTTTATCCAAATATCAATGGCATTTTACTAACCCCCAGTGTTGGCAGACAGACAAGGAGGGCATTTTAATATTTATTGCCTTTTCCTAACAAAAGGGACATTTCAGTCTTTCCTGGTATTAATCCCAGATCTGGAAGACAGAGGAAATGTTGATTCTATGGCTCTGTAAATTCCTTCTGAGTTGGCCACCCTAGTGGAGAGAAGCAGCAGCACAGGTATATTTGAATATTTTACTCTATCAGAGTAAATATAGGCACATACGTGTGTCAGCCAGCAACAGACCCAATCCTTCACACTGGGCTGTGAGTTAATGATTCTGCGCTTGTCTACACACTGCATTAGTCCACAACAGACAGGTGTAAATTCTAGTGTGCATTAGCATGTTGCACACTAACTGTGAACTCTGTTGGCATGCACTAAAACTTCCCTAGTGCATGTTAACATAGCTCCATTCCAAACAGTACTACATTAATGCACAGTGGAGGACTTTTAGTGCGTGCCAGGAGGGTCCACATGGGCCAGTTAGTGCTCAACACACTAGTGCTCATTAGAATTCACACTTGTCTTGGGTGGATTAAAGCACGAAGCAAGCAAGCTCTTAGTCTAAGAAGACGTATCAGCACTTTGCAAATCAGTTCTGGTTCATGATTAGCTGTAAACTGATGGATTTGGCCATTTTGCAGATTACACAGGAAAGAGAAATTCAAGTGATTTTAGGGTATGCACAATAAAAACAGCAAGAGTCATTGCAGAGCAGTCTGTAAAAAGGTTGGACATATATAGCCAAAGAATTTGCAAGTTATGAGCAAACCATATGCTATAATGTGAAATGTTTGAAGAAATCCACCAAGCACAGAGCTAACGTGCTCATGGCCAAGCTAATGTTCAGATCAGAAAACTGAGTGTTCCACGTGTTAACAAAATTGGAGTAAGCTTTATTTTGCCTTGGAACCACGCACTTAATCTATTACTGATCTCTACAGCAAAACAGTTTCCTATGCAGAATGAGAAGGGTTTCATCTCCTTGAGGGAGATGCATGCAACCAGTCATGCTTTAGAAACTAGACAAGTGGCAGGATCTTTCTAGTTCCTTTAGGATGAACTGGCCTGCTGGCCTGCAGACTGCATTCCCCTAGGTGATGGCTGGGGGGAAAGCACTGAACAACCTCATTGAATTACCATCTGCTAAAGGGGATGAAGAGACTCAAGACTTCCTAGTATACCAGTCAACTATAGAGTATTTTGTTTAATACTATGGTGACTAATATTTCTAAACACAGCAGACCAACCATCTTACCCAAAACTCTATCATTCTTCTGCTGTCCTCCTGTACTGGTTGAAAGGTCTTCTGGTACAGGCATGGGCTCATCTGCATCATCTGGGACATCACTTATTGGAGGACTTTCCTTTCCTAGTCACAGAAGAATAAATAATAATGTAAGATTAATAATATTGGGTGGAATAGCTAAAACACTTACCAGGGACCCTAGCCTGCTATCCTCTTGCATGAAAAGCTCCTCCTGCAGTGGGAGGTATATGCATGGAAGAACATCCTTGCTAGATTTACTTTACCCAGAACATCAAGGGACTAACTTCTTACTTTTTTCTCTCGATGCTACATGAAGATAAGTAGATTTTTGCTCTGGTGCTAGCACCTACGAACAGCAAAACTATACTGACAAATTGTCTAAATGCTCTAAAAGCTCTACTCACAAATGACTAGGGTCTACAGAAGGGGTGGGCAAACTTTTTGGCCCAAGGGCCACACTGGGGTATGGAAATTGTATGGCGGGCCAGAAATGCTCACAAAATTGGGGGTAGGGGTGCGGGATGGGGTGAGGCCTCCGGCTGGGGGTGCGGGCTCTGGGGTGGGGCCAGAAATGAGTTCAGGGTACAGGGGGGGCTCTGGGTTGGGGTCCAGGGGGGGGGGGCGCGGGGGGGGGGGGCTCTGGGGTGGGGCTGGGGATGAGGGTCTTGGGGTACAAGAGGAGGCTCTGGGCTGGGATTGAGGGGTTCAAAAGGCAGGAGGGGGATCAGGGCTGTGGCAGAGGAATGGGGTGTGGGGTTGGGCTCAGGGGCACAGGCTCCGGGCGGCGCTTACCACAAGCAGCTCCCGGAAGCATGTCCCCCCTCCGGCTCCAAGGCACAGCCAGGCGGCTCTGCGCGCTGCCCTGTCAGCAGGTGCCACCCCTGCAGCTCCCATTGGCTGTGAAACGTGGCCAATGGGAGCTGCGGAAGGAGCAGCGCCTGTGGACAGGGCAGCATGCAGAGCCCCCAGGCCACGCCACCGCGTACTACGTAGGAGCTGGAGGGGGTCGAGCCGGGGGAGGGGAGGGGTCATGCCGGCTGGAGCAGGACAAACCCCCGACCCCACTCCCCGGCTGGAGCTGAGGGCCAGATTAAATGGTCTGCCAGGCCGGATATGGCCCATAGTTTGCCCACCCGGGCTTACAGCATGGCTTCACTCTTAGCCACAGTTCTCACTGGCTGGCTCACAACACAGGCTTAAAAATGGCTTGGCCCTACAAGATGCTTAGTTCCCTCAGCTCCCAGTGACTTCTATCACTCAGCATCTTGCATGATTTGGCTTGCCAGTGCACTGCTGCCAGAATCAAGTACAACCCAACATGGTACTGCTTTGTGTTTTGTGATCTCTCGTTGGCAAAGTGAAACAAACCAATAGCTTGAATACAAGCTTTTTGCAGTATAAACAAATCAGGTTCCATAGCAATTTTTTAAATTAAAAAGGTAACATTTCAGTTCCAAATGCAAAACATTTCAGAAAATAATTCCACTCCTAATTACTGCACTATGACAGATGGGGAGGTTTCCTGTGTTGATTTTCATTCACTGTGGGCAGGACCGGCTCCAGGGTTTTGCCGCCTCAAACGGCGGAAGAAAAAAAAAAAAAGTCGCGATCGCAATTGTGATCGGCGGCACTCCGGCGACAGCTCCACTGCGCCGCTTTCGTCTTCGGCGGGAATTCGGCAGCAGGTGCTTCCCTCTGAGAGGGACCCACCGCCAAACAGCCGGACGTGCCGCCCCTTCCCCTTGGCCGCCCCAAGCACCTGCTTGCTGGGATGGTGCCGGCCCTGACTGTGGATACAACACTGTTGTCTAGTACTACAGCATGCATTATCCTGCCAAGAGGCCCTCTTACAATGGCTTTAAACACTATGCGTCAAATTCAGGCCTGGTGTCACTCTACTGTAGCCAATGGAGTTATCTAGGAGATTAATTTAGACCGCCATTATTAAGAGACAATTCTTTTATCAAACAATAAAGAATGAGATAGACAATGGGCTGGATTCTGATCTCACTGATGTCGGAATAACACCACTAACTTTACCAGCTTTAATTACTGAGGGCCTTTTATGAAGATCATCTACAAGTATTTGAAGACGGTATAGAAAGGAAAGTGCTGCTAAGGACTTTGTGGCTACATAACTAGGTATAAAGAGATTAAATTTAAAAGGGAAAAAAAAAGAAGTTGACTTAATTTCTTATTGATGAATTTATCAGATTGTACAACAGTCTCCCAAGGGACGCAGCAGGAGCAGCATCAGATGAATCATTTAAAACTACGGTGGACAAAGAACTTCAGGATAAACTGTGGGGATTAATCCCCACACTGGCAGGAGGACAGACTATATTATATGGGTTAAAATGTCTTCCACATTTATTTATGGAGATATCCTATCTCCTAGAACAGTCCTGAAAGGTCAGTGAGTCTAGCCCCCTGCCTTCACTAGCAGGACCAAGTACTGATTTTGTCCCACATCCCTAAGTGGCCCTCTCCAGGATTGAACTCACAATACTGGGTTTAGCAGGCCAATGCTCAAACCACTGAGCTATCCCTCCCCCCAACTTCTAATTCCCATCTCTAACTTCTATGGTATTTTCATAAAGAGACAAATAATACTGACTAGATGTGGATGCTCAGCTGAAGATGGGTTGGGTAAGGGAAAAGAAGGAGCATGAACTCAGAGCAAAAAAGAACAAAGCAGGAAGCAAGCTGATTAAAATGTTGTTCCGATTATTATTTGCTCAGATCCTTTGTGCAGCTAGCCCTGTAATTTCCTTCACTACTTTACAGACTTTAAGGAACTTAAGAACTGCCAACAACTTTTTCACGGCAAGTCACAACTTGCCAAGCTGAGATGTATCTTACAGAGAGTGGGGTAATATGGTTTAAACATTTGAGCTATTTAAAAAAAAGAAGAAGAAGAAGAAGAAGAAATTTAACTCATGGGCGAGGGTCATTCCCAATCAGAACCAGTTTCCCTAATCTTAGATTTTTCTTGGCAAAATGGCTTAAAAATAAATAAATCAAAAGCCACTTGCCAGTTTCAAGGCCCTATTGTGCTCTCCATTACTCCAGTTAAAGCCCACATACTTACTCTAGATTTGGGAGAAGAGCGATTATAAAAAGCATCAGGCTTGTGTTTCTAAAGACCAGTTTAAATAGGTAACTGCATACCACATGGAATAGCAAGCATAAAATCAGAACTGTATTCCTCCCCAAAGTTAGGCATCCTACCTCCACATCTTTAAAGGAAGCTTTTTGGGATTCAAAAAAAATTTAGAAGGCCAAGCACTTTGGCAGTTTACTGTAAATAACCAGGTTTGCCAGATGGATATGGATTGCTGCTTGTTTAGTTTTACTAAAGAATGGGGCCAGACACCCAACTGGTGTAAATCAGTGGACTTCAGTGGAGCTGATTTACACAAGCTGAAGATCGAACACACTACTTTGTTTGAGGAAACTCCACTTTGCAAACTTTGCTTTAATAACTCTTGTCACAGAAGCTTGGGATTTCTTCCCACCGCACATGATAGCACAATCCTTGTATACGAAAAGACTGGGTAAAAATAATAGTTTTAAAATAGCTATGTTTGTGGAGCTTTTTCTCTTGGATTCCAGAGCATGATATTCTTATTTCATGCCTTAACTACATCTAAATTGTTACACCCTGATAAATTCACTACTGCATGGCAATCTTACAGATATGCAATCTTGCTAACATTTCTTGCAGATGGATTTAAAAATGGAAAGGGGGAAAAGAAACAGTTCTCCATTTAATTTCTTACAGGCATGTCCAGAATAACAACAGATGTAAGGGATGTAATTGTAAAGCTAGTAGTGAGCACTGGGACCATTTGTTAAAATGTCACAAAATTATAGAAGTCCCACACATTTACTCCACTCTTATACATAGTTTTGCTCAAAGTGTGTGAAACACACACACAGCAGTCTAGCATCTAGGTGTAAATTTTGTTTTTTTAAAACAGCCTTAAAACATACCCTTGTTTATAAAAAGCTTTAGAGGGAAAGCACAGGACTTCTGGGAAATCTGAAATCTATTCCTGGCTTTGCCACTGAGTCATTGGGTGACCTTGGGTAAGTCACTTAAGCCAAAAATTTTAAACTTGGATGCCTAAAATCAGGCACCCAAATCCATATTTAGGCTCTCCAAATAGGGTCTCAAATGCCTAACCCCTGACACATGTGTGAGAGAATTGTAGCATTAGGGCCCAACCCTGCAGACTGTTTATTTTGCAAACTGAAGGCCCTCAACCTCTTTGTACTTCAGTTTCTCCATCTGTAGCATGGGAATGATAGCACTGACTACCAAACAGGAGTTTTGGGAAACTTACAGAACCAATCCAAGAATGTTCTGAGCATTTTTTACTCCCAATGAAGCCAACGAGCACAGAGCTGGCTCAGCATCTCCACAGAATTTTTTGACGCCTCCGAGGTTCAGGCCAGAAAGGTGCTTTAGAAGCACTCAGTATTATTAAAAGTAAGAGAGTAAATGTTTTCTTTTAGAAATACTGGATCTTTACTTTTCTAGAAACTAATATTAGCTAAAAGAGCTTCTGAAGCTTTAGGGTTATTTTGAGTGGTAACTCTATGGTCACTTACACAGTAATGCAAGAAGAAAGAAATAAGATTGTCTTGACTGAAGACTAGAAACCTAATTCTCCTTTCACTTATGTCACTTTTAAACTGGTGTAAAGTCACTGAGATTGATGAAATTTCTCCCAATTTACACTGGCTTAAGAAGAGAATCAGACGCAATGACTGGAGCTAAATGCAGCTAAGCCGATTTACACCAGCTGAGGCTCTAGCCTGCCATGTCAGAAGCAAAACCTTTTTCCCTGTTTTCTCATCAACTGGCAAAAGTTGAGAACTACAAATAGTGGTTCCTTGGGGAGATCTTTGTGTGATAGTGGTGAAAACATTCACACTGGTCTTTCATTCTCCCTCAACTGTTAGACCCAATCTAGAACTGAAAAAAACAGCAGGATAAACACTGCTGGTTAAGTGAGATATTATCTGTGTTTTCTGATTCTCTTGTATGGGCACCGGATACGGTTTGGTTAAATGTATGTCAGCTCTCTCTTCATTTCAGAACTGCAACTGCTTGCCTCATGAAATATCACTTTCAGGAGAAAAAAGGGTGAACTCTGAGCTTATCATAGAGCATTTTGGTTCCTTTAGGAGCTAGCAGTGACCGAATTCCAAGAAGTGGGAACATTTGTGTTGCAAACCCAAAGGGCCTGACTCTGATCTCACTTATGCCCATTTTATGCTGTGTTGGTCTGATTCTCCACTGACACACCTTGTGTCCGTTACAGCTATGCAAGTAAATGGCTTCCAAGTGCTACCATTCTGACTTGACAGGGCTCTTACACCTACTTTACAAAGTATGAATAACTATACCAAGCGAAAGGCAGTGGCACATCTAGCCCATTGGCTCAGATTCTACAGTGGGGCTGAGGAGCACTAGGCACAGTGCAGGAGAAGAGTACCACGGTATTTTACAGCTGCAGTTATGACCCCTCAGTCCTGGGACTGTACAACTGCCAAGCTTGTCCCCAACATATTACAGCAGCCTTGCCCTGCAATTATGTCCCTGGAAGCATATGGCATCCCCAATAGGGCATGATTCCCTTCATCCCATGCCTACTGGCCAGCAGAGCTGGCCAACCAAGCAGGGGCGGTTCCAGGCACCAGCGCAGCAAGCGCATGCCTGGGATGGCAAGCCGTGGGGGGCAGTCTGCCGGTCGCTGTGAGGGCGGCAGTCAGGCTGCCTTTGGCGGCGTGCCTGCGGGAGGTCCGCCGGTCCCGTGGTTTCGGTGGCAATTCGGCGGCGGGTACGCCGAAGACGCGGGACCAGCGGACCTCCTGCAGGCGCGCCGCTGAAAGCCGCCTGACTGCCATGCTTGGGGCGGCAAAATACATAGAGCCGCCCCTGATGGGAAGGAAATAAGTAGCACCCCTTGAAGGGGTGTAAGCAGCATGTAACTGCTCCTGTGAGCTCCAGAGAGCATTCTGCCCCTGCCCCCCCTCCAAGCTGTTTTTCGTGGCATGAAAACTAGGCCATGCTACTGTATGCAGCATCACATACTCAATAATATCAGATAGAAAAATAAGATATTGAAATGATTTATTGAATCAACAGTTGACCTGTGGATGATGTCACCACCAACATCAGAATACTTTACTCGTATTAATGAGGGCTCAGTCAAGTATTTGTGGGGGTTAATCCAGTAGGCTGTTGCCTTTGGAATACTGTGTGTGCACACAGCTCAGATCACAAATGAAAGCAAGTGTAAGCTATTCTGTGGCCATTTGATCACATCACCAACACAACTAACTGTTCAGCAGAACTGACAGTCTCTGCTCCAAGAGAGCCCAAGAGTCAAAGATCAATGGGTCACTGGCACAGCAGAGTGGGGAGGTTTATGCAGGGCATTTGCTGTTGGCAGATTATATCAGGGAGCTAAAATTCACCTCAGAGTCCACTTTTTTTAAGAAAGGAAAATCACCACCAAAGAATCTTACTTATTGTCTCACTTATTGTCACCTAAGGATGCTGTGGAAATACTAGAAGTGGTACCAATCCTTCAGCAGTATTCCCCTCACTTAGAAATACTACTGGAGTTCCCTTCAAATCTTCCCCCCAAGGAAAGAGGCAGAGAGTGTGGCCTCCTAACCCATGAGTCAAAGCAGCCTCCCGTCCCCTAGAGAGCTAGCCCACAATACTGCTCCTCCTCACAGCAGCATAGCTTGTATGGGAGTGATGCTGCCTCTGGCCAGCCATTGCAAGAGGGAGCAGATGTGGAGTTCAAGTTAATGCTATTTTAAGCACCATAACATTGGGTGTGGATATCCACTAGGATATGTGCTGCCATAGAGGCAGAGAATGATACAACTGTCTCCAGCCCCCCTGGAACCCAGCAGAGCCCAATCCCCATGAGGCACCCATGTACGGGATTGTGCAGCACACAGAATCATTGAATTTGAATTAGAACACAACTAAAAGCTCTAGTCTAAACAGATCCTAATAATTTTGTCTATATAAGGAATACAGGATCTGTGCTCCATTGCTTTTCCTGTTGAGCAGTGTATGTGCCAAACTATACACAGATAGCAAGTTTTTAATTATTTCAATATGCAATAAAAGTTTGATGCTCAATATATTTAGTTATAATGTAAAGATGATGATGATGATGATGATGATGATGATGGATTATTCGGGGGAAATCAACAAACCCATACAGAATAGCTGAAAATTTTCTGTTGAAAAGTGTGATGGAAAATGGCTTTTTTTTTCCCCCTCTCAAAACAGAATGTTCCATGGGACACATCCATTTTATTTTAATCTTATCAGGTTTTCATCTAAAATATAAAAAAAATGTTTTTTTATTTTCTGATGAAAACTCAAAAAGATTTCTAAATCTTTTTGAAAAAAAAATATACATATATATATATATATATACATACATATACACACACACACACAAAATTTAGTTCTGCATATATATAATTTACTTTTTCATTTTTCCTTCAAAATGAGATGAAAATGATATTTACAGTTTTCATCTAATTTTTTTCAGGAAAAAATGTCCTGACCATCTCTATGGTCCAAGGCCATTTTATGATCACATACAGCTGTTCTTTAGGTACTGATCCTCCAAACACTTGTGCACATGTTTAATTTTAACTGTGACAGTTGCCCGTTAAAGTGAACCACCTGCTTAAGTGTCTGCAAGATGGAGGCCTCAATGAACAAAGGTGGCCTGTTCTAAACAGCATACTAAAAGTGAAAACTGGAAGTAATTTGCCATTACTGTTGTCAAATATTAGGGAACCTATGGGGAGGGCAAACTATATGGCTCCTTGAGACTAGAGATGGAGCACTATAGTATTAAGAATAGTATTATCTTGATAATTATATTTTCAGACTTGCCAAGGGACCAGTTCTAACCTCAATGAAGTCAATAATAAAACTCCCAATGGGAGAAACACAAGAAGCCAAGGGCCTGTAGAATCCTAACTATGATATTCATAGGGCAAATTTTAGAGGCCTAACTCTTCCAAGCAACACTTAAAGGTTCTTTCAATGCGTTGACACCTTGGAATAAAAGAGTTCTGACCCTTAAAGTCTAATGCCATTGGTGCTATGGCTTTTACTATCTACCCAGATATTTATCTAGCCAGCCTTTATTTCTTAAGCCAAATTGCATTATAAGAGATTTGGGGGTACGGGGACAGGAGAGATTCCATAAACCTACTTGGTGAGCAATTTTTTTTAAATTAATATTTTCCCCTCATGACTGAAGTTTACTTGTCCTGAAACCGGCATGTACCAGTCAATCTTTTGTCCATTCCCCCGTCCCCCCCAAATACCCTCCAATGTGAGTCTGACCATGCTTCAAGGATATATTACTGTAGGTTTAATACAAAACTACTTATATTTTCCTTGGCTTCGTTATTTATAAAGTTCCTTTTAAAAAAGTCTATGCACTACTAGGTTTGATATTAAGTGATACCATTAATTATGTCCTGCTTTCCACTCTGGCATTACAAAAGATCCAAAGCAATTATAATGACAATAACAACAACACTGCACTCTGGTACAGAGATTAACAGGAATTCAGGATTTTCATCGTAGATGTATTCTTTAAGGATCTCACCTGAAACCTGAGACATATCTTGAGCCTCATCTGTTTCCATTTTCCTCAAGTAATCTAAGAAAGAGAGGAAGAGCATTAAGTTAATGTGAAACACAAAAAAACAAGACAAAAAGCGTGGGGTGGGGGGAAAGAAAAATCCTTTGCTATTTAACTATGAGATTATCTGGCAAGAATAATGTATTTTTCTCTTTATTTTCCTCCCTGAATACCTGAGTATCAGACTGGCACAGACCTTGATCCTTTTAAAAACAGCATTACAAAGATTTATAAAAATATCATTACAAGCACAGGAGGACCAAATTTGTTATTTATTGTTAATTTCCTACTGCATAATAACCCAAAATGCAAACTGACTGCAACAAAATTAAGCAGAAAATTAAATGGCCCTGGGTCATTGTAGGCACAGAATTCATTCTCTTGGTTGATCCATAGTTATGTTCTTTCTAATTTACTGAGCATGCATCGATGAACCTTGAGTCAGCTTGGTGACACGCGTACAATCAGCAATCAAAAAACGAAGCAATTTGCTGAAGAATGTCTCATTTACCCAGGCAGGGCTGCATATCTGAGCAGCAACCGCCACTGCCTCCATTAATAATGAATACACCTCAAGCAGTGGCAGATGGGCAAAACAGCAGCTTCAGTCTTTGGCCCTCACTCTTTCAGGAGCCCTTGCTTCAGACCACATCAGCTTTCTTCTACACAGGGAGAAGTAAAGCTCCCTAAAATAGCAAAACAAGCCCAGGAGACAAAGGGAACCCAGGCCTTCCTGTTTTGCTGACAGATGGCTGGCTCCTCAGATTGGTAACAAATACTGGGAAGCTACTGCCCTTCTGTTGCAACACATAATGTTCTGAGAGTAAGTTGCGAGTGACCACAAACTCCAGGGAGAAGCACGCTGAGGATTAGTGGGTAGAAATAAAATTAAAGTTTTCACTTGGAGCACAAGCCTACTAGTCTGAAGTCTCAAGTGCCTATGGTGGACATCTGGTAGCGCCTTGGATAATAAATGGCTTACTAGAGCAGGTATTCCCAGCACAACCTGATACTGAACTTTCAGCATGGTGCTGGCAACTCAGGTAACCTTAGGAGAAAAAAGTTCTTTAACCTGTAAACTCTGTCTACTACAAGGCTTTGGGCCATGTCCTCATCTAATGTAAACTATCATAGCTTCTTTGACTTCAATAGAACTATGACAGTTTACACCAGCTGAGAATCTGGCTCCTTTGACATCGTTACATTCAAGGCACTACCACCACCAATCTAGTTTTCTGGAATCAGAAAGGTGGCAATGGAAACTGGAAACCTATTTCCATGAAAGAGTTAGAAACAGAGGAGTATAGTGGTTGAGTTACTGTACAAAGAGTTATAACACTATTCTGATGTTTGGGGCAAGTGTACAATATCCATTCTTCTCAAATCCTCAAACATCTCTTTTTCTTAAGAAAGAAAGAAGCCATCAGTAATGTTGGGGATAGTAACGTGATACCAAATACATGGTAGTGGAAAAGCTTGTAACAGCAGTAGTCCTATTTAATTCTCCAATGAATTTTATGGACTTCCCAGGCAACATTTGTCTCAGAACTCACACAGTGCACCTCAGATCTAACAGTCTGCTCTTCAGACACATGCAAGTCTCCCTTTCATGTCAATGGAAGCTTTGTGCACAAGGAAGAGACCAGTATCAGTGTGCACATCTGCTGTGTGGATTTAAGAGCAGACTTTTACCCTCTGCATTTTGCTACCACGCCTTCAGTCTGTCCCCTCCACCAGGCATTCCACCCACTGCATAACTGTCATAATGCTACTAAACATACCAGAACGTTTTGTTTTGCTTTATTTCAGTCCCAAATTTTAGTCCCAGCCAAAACAATTTGTAAAAAATCACTGCCTAAAATAACTGTAGCTTTGCAAAACACAACAAGCTTCCTCCCACCCAACAATTTACATCAACTTCTATGGGACAGAAGAGATTTCAATTTGTCCATTGTTTAATAAAGATAGGCTGTGTTTCCCACTGATTACTTATCATGAGGGAGGGGGAATCCAACATCATCTTCTAATTGTAACCTGTTCAGTTACCGGAAATGTGGTATGTACTGGTAGGTGGGACTGTACAAAAGTCCAGTCTCCATATACACATTCTCTTAGTTCTCCTGCAAGGTTCACTGAACACAAATGAAGAAAAAGACATTCCTATGCATTTCTTGGTGCCTTAGATGATCATCCAGCTGTTTGATAAACACAGTTTCATTGTGGCATGGTGAACTCCAGCCAAACAAAAACTCAAGAAAATATACAACAAAAGGGAATCCTATACATTAATTAAACAGTGTCTCTAGAATAATTAGAAAATGCTTCAAGATGTACTTCCAGGGCTTCAGAGAAGACAAAGCAAAATATGGGGGGTTTCTTCTTCCTCAATAAATCCACTAAAGACGGTCACTTCCACAGAAAAGGATATTTAAATATGAAAGTTTCTATTTTATTATTCCCATAATTACCCACCTTTAACATGACAAACCATACAACCCCAATGTTTCTGCAGCATACCAAGTACTGAATCATTCCTATTCTCTGAAAGCATGCTCCTTTTTGGCCTTTTAGCTGGAGTCAGACGTGGAGTTAAATTTGCAAAGGTTTCCCAATTTCTAAATGGGGAGGTCCACTGGTTTAGATAGGAGAGGACTGGCGACTGGGTGTTCTTGAGGAGAGATCCTCCACACTGCAAAACACCGCTCCTGGGTCTGTGAAAGCCTAGATTTGCTGACCTTCAGTACATTCTCTCAGGCTCACCTCTTTCCCTGAGCTTTTTAGGGGGGACAAGAGATTGATTAGGGTTTTGAGATGAGTGGATAGGCAATATCTTAGTTTGGTTGGGAAAGAGGAGGGAATGTCTTTTTTTTAAATGGTCTTTTGGAACTCAGAGCTAGTCTTACGTGTGTTCAGCACCCACAGCGCTGATCATTCAATATATTTAAATTCATTAAATTAAAGCAGGTGATGCCTAATTTGAAGGGGGAAATAATAGTGTAGTGCTAGTGTCTTCAGATTGTAAGTACCAGTGAAATCCCAACCAATTCCAACGAAAGTTTTAGGTTTGCCAGGGACGCATGACTGGACCCATATCTAAGTGCTGGGACAATATGTTTTTTGTAACCCTGAACTGGTACAAAGGTTTTTAAATCCTTACCTAGGCATAATCTCCCATTGGGCCAAATTTTTGTGTAATGAGAGCACTACCTGTTCTAGAGTAGCAGCCGTGTTAGTCTGTATCCGCAAAAAGAACAGGAGATGCATCCGAAGAAGTGGGCTGTAGCCCACGAAAGCTTATGCTCTAATAAATTTGTTAGTCTCTAAGGTGCCACAAGTACTCCTGTTCTTTCTACCTGTTCTAGTGACTTTTACATGGGTATATGCCTAAGTAAGAACTGATGACCTGATCTTGCTTCCATTGAAATCAATGGGAGCTTTGCTATAGACTTCAAGGGGAGCAGGATATAGCCCGGAGTAAGGACACTAGGATTCCCCCCACCAAAGTTTCGATTTAAGACTGGATTTTGAATGTTATCACAGGTGAACACAAAAGGATTTCTGCAGAAGTGTATATGGCATGAGACATTAGGGGAAAGTACTATTATTTAGTAAAAGGAAAAACATTAACAACCAACCCTTTGCAAATTTTCATAATTTTAAACTCATTGGGCCAAATTCACTATAGGCATGAGTGTGTGCAATTTCACTGCCTTCTACACAGTTGCCCCTGCTTATGCCAACAGTGAATGTAAGCCAACATTTTTAAACGTCAGTGCTTAAAGTTAGACACCTAAGTTCACATTTAGGCACCCAGAAAAGGAGCCATTAACTTCAATGGGAGCTGCAGGTGCTCAGCACCTCTGGAAATTCTGGTCTCTTTTATTTAGGTGCCTAAATATGGATTTAAGTGCTTGGGCCGTTACAGAAAATATCTACAAAGCTCTCTTTAAAATATTATATCGGTTCTTCAAATCTCCTTAGAAATTGAATTCAAACCAATATATTTTCCTCTTAATAATCTAGAGACTTGATTGCAAAAATTAATTATAAAGCTTTGGAAAGCAAAATGTTGTAAATCTTTGGGTCGTGACATTATTAATCCTAGAGAAACACACACTAAAATGGAAGTTCTGTATTGGTTCTGTTTTACACAAAGTGATGCTTTAAATAAGAAAACAATTAATTTATATACACACACACACACACACACACACACAGAAATTGTACAGGTTGCCATCTAGTCAAATCCTGTGTATGCAGACATGCACATGATTTCTTTTCCTCTTGTCAACTCCTCTCTACAACTCTGCCTATGCAGTGTTCATGGGAAATGCACACGTGTATGCCATCCACATCATGTTTAATTTATAATACATGCACAATTTTGAATGTGTTCATATGGAACACTTAACCTTTCATAGTCTGAAGAAAAGTTGAGTAGGACAAGCTCTGCCCTCAGTTACTCCCACGCTACACCATTCAAATTCAGCAGAGTTGCACTGCTGTTAGTGATTGGAGAATTTGGTCCAATATGTGCATTGTAGACTCTGAGCTATTTTGTTCCCCACCTAACAGTCAAAACAGGCCAGATTAAGTATTCACGTCAATTACAATTCATTGCAGTAGGGTTACATCAATGAGGAATTTGGGCCCATAAGTTAATGGGATCCTTTAGGATGCTGTTAGGGGAAAACATCTCTATAAGGTTAATTTTCCTAATTCAGGATGTTGCCCTTCAAAATGCACCAAATTTGTTTTCTGCAAATGGAGTGTTGATGTATTATTTCATCTCATATTTTTCAATGAAAATTTAAAGGTAAACTATATACATTAAAGTATTGCATTTATAACATGCTTTATACATTCAACATGATGTACAAGCATGAGGGCTCAGTCCTGCATCCTGCGCAACCAAAACTTCAACTGAAACCCATGGGATTTTAGAGTGTGAAGAGACTGCAGGATAAGGCCTATTGCCTAATTGACTCCAACGTACTATCCCAA